AGAGAGAGAAAGAGACAAAAATCATTATCAGTGACACAAATACTCCGACAGAAATACAGAATCAAATAAGTGTGTCATATGTGTGTTGAGTCTGACATTTCTAATTTTTTTTTTAAATTTTGATATTTGAGAAAGAACAAAATGTATTACTCGGAAGATTGTCACATTTGATTTTAATCTATAAATAAATTTTTCAAATAAATCAAGTAAATTTTCTCGTTTTTTTACTCGTTTTCAATGACATAATTCTTATTTTTAAAATCGAATTCTTATGATATTTGATGAGAAATTCTCATAATTTCTCACAAAACTATATGAGTAATAAAAAATATGTTTACGCAAACCAATTATACTTCCTTTTAATTCAAAATCAATATATTCCTCGGCAAAAATTAGACTGTACAAGATTTCGGCATTAATATTTTTGATAAAATTTTGCCTTTGACGTAGAGGAAGAAAGTAGAACTAGCCTAAGCGGAATACGATAGGAATGCTTGCTTCTCGAAAGCGCTACGTGCGACCGAAACTGCAGGATCCAAAAATGATACAAAAAGAAAGAAAGGAGAGAGTAGAATCAGGGATGAATATAAATGATTAACGATAAGAAAACAGTGGACGATCACTTTGTTTTTAGGGGGTAAGCGTTAGAGTAGCAATGTCCTCTGATCCGTGATAAATCGTCAGGGATATCCGCGTGCTTAGTAACTATTTCAATTCTCGTATCACGTTATTCGTTCGTTATTCAGCCTTGAGCTACTTCGTTCTTTTCTGCTTCCGGCCGTGCCCGTCTGTCTGGGTTTTTACCAGCCAGGAATCGATCGATCCGTCTTAATGTACCTTCTCGATCAGATCGATACATGCGAGCAGGTCCATGCCAAAATCTATGAAGGCCCACTCAATGCCCTCCTTTGTATACTCTTCTTGTTCGAGGACGAACATGTGATGGTTGAAGAACTGCTGCAGCTTCTCGTTGGTGAAGTTGATGCAGAGCTGTTCGAAGCTGTTGAACTGTTCAAGAGCAAGAAACAGGCATGCGTATTTTCTCTTTCTTTTTTCCTTCTAACACTTTTCTTTAGCTTTCGTGTTTCTTTTGTGTCCTGTTTCTTTTAAGGAATTTCTTACACACGGTTGGAATTATAAAATTACCCGAAGTTTCAAGACGGTTTTAACGTACGTAAAAATATTCTTGATAAAACTGTTTTCTGATGTAACTGATAACACACATTAAAAGAATAATCTTCTTCACCAAGATTTAAGATAGGGTATAATTCTATCATTTAATTAATATTATATTATTTATTTTTTTCTACTAATTGTAAGATTATTGTAAAATTGATAAAAAAACAAATTCAAATTCTATTGTCGATCGACTCGAAACTTCGGGCTGATCAAAGTCTCATTAGAAGGAATTTTCTTACAGAGCACTTAATACGAAATCGGTGGTGTAGCGCACCGTTTATTGCTGGGACGGATTGGTATCAATCGCATCGCGACCTAGCACGAGGTCGTTCTTTCAGGGTTCAAACTTATCATGTCAGAGAATGTTCCAGTGGCTACGTTTACACCCTGAAATTAGGCCGCGGCCTGTACCTCAAATTCGACCTAAATTATTTAGCCCGCCTGCTGTAAACAGTTGATAAGCGACCGGACCTGGCTTCAGGTCAGGCCGCGTATTTTAGTGACCCGACCTGAAATAGGCCGTTATCATTTGCTATGTAAACGCGCGATCAAGCGCGACGCGTCCTTTATTTGCTTGTTCGGATTTGCTGCAATTCAGGGCGATCCCAAATACGATCCCGTCAATTTTTAGGTTTCTTTCGGTGTAAAGCCCGGTTTTCACACGCAATGATTAGTGGCGCCAACTGACTGGCATTCATTGGCGCCAGAACCGACTAGCAAACTCACAAGTATTTACACAGTAATTGGCGTATAATATGAAAAATATTTAACATTTATTAAACACACAGTAAATGACAGCAAGCATATAACCTCAGAATTTGAGGTTATATGCTTTGGCCAATAGCCGCCAGTAAACGCCACATTACTAGCGCCAGTTTGTATCAAGTGTTTACACTTGCATTTTTACTGGCGTTAGTCGACTGGCGCGGCCTGGCGCCACCAATCATTGCATGTGAAAACCGGCCTGATGACTAGACCTACTTCGGGTCACAATATAGGTCAGGCCGCGATCAGGTCGCTGGGTGTAAACGTAGCCAGTGTCTCGATTCGTGTCCAGGATATTGGTCGATTCATTCGTAAAACAGAACACGGAATATTAAACAAAATTCAAAAATACGAAATTATGCTAAATTTAAAGTCAATTAAAAATGTATCTTATGTATTCATCCGATCTTTTTTGTCGAAATATTGTTAATAATCTGGACAATTTGTAGATTTTTTCAGATAGTATATAAGACGTCGGATCATAGACAAACAATAAAACAATAAATACATTTAATCTGTATAATAAATACAAATATATCCGTGTACGATTTTAGTTTTGAACTTTTGTTAGTTCTCGTGTCTGTGACCAGATGTCTATATGAATGCTAAATATACAGGGTCTAACAGTATTAGTCTACGGCCAACAACTACTGCCGTTACCAACTCTGTCAATTACATCAATAGGAAAACCACCGTAAAAGGGTGACACAGTGCTGCACGATCCTGACCGTCCTGTTTGCTAAATGGACAGTTAAACGTACGTAATTAAACGTACGTAATTTAAAAAAAGGGGGGGCAGGGTATAGACGAGTGGTTAATCATCTCTACGTCATGTTTACTCTACGTGAAGTCCACTGTTTCGATGGTGATAATGATGACAATAAATGTCCCTTCGACGAACGAAAAAAATTATTCCTTTACCTGCACGCTGTCCCACTTTGAACCAGATAGAGCGAATGAGCGTTCGTCGGGGAATCTAAGAGCATCTAAGGGCATTCTCGATAAAAGGATCCCTATCTAATCAGAGAAATTCCGCTACTTCTATGGAGGCGTGCAGAAATATTCGGGGCAATCGAAGAGGGATTTTTCGAAATCATGCGCTTCTCAGGAAAACAAATAATACAATAATTTATAATTAATTATATTAAAACTAAAATTATATTAATTTTCTCCCTTTGCTTTTTTTATGTTAATTGATAATATCATAAATAATAAAATTGTGAGAATATTAATACAAATTACTCATGACATCTAATAAAAATTCACAGTTTGTTCAGGGCAGTACGGAATCATTCAGGAGATCAACGGAGTCCAAAACTCACAATATCCAGTTGAATTTCACAATATCCCAAATAGGACAATTAAGGAATCATTGATGAAATTACTCAATAAAAATAAAATTCTCCCATTTAGGATACAAATTCATTCAGGGGTCTAACTAAGGTCTAAGTTTACGTTTATGAAGGTTTATGGCAACCTCCAAGGGACGATGATACATATCTAAGGAGAGGAATACAGTCTATGAAGATCTAAATCAATCCTTTGGAGAAATTCATACTTCATCGAGATTAACGACAAGATTAACGTGCGGGACCTAAAAAAGATCTATAGACCTCCTAGGGAGATCAAAAAAACGAAAGAGTGGAGGGCGGATCGATCGTTCACCTTCTCGATCAACTCGATACAAGCTAGCAAGTCCATGCCAAAGTCAATGAATTGCCAGACGATGCCCTCCTTCTTGTACTCCTCTTGCTCGAGGACGAACATGTGATGATTAAAGAACTGCTGCAACTTCTCGTTGGTAAAGTTGATGCAGAGCTGCTCGAACCCATTATACTGCGAGATACCGGGGTAATGAGATATATGATTACGGGCTTTCAAAGAAGATTTCTCGGCGACTCGTTCGACCGGAGGAGTTCGTGAGACGCCTCGTGAATCACGATTCACTTCTCGTCACGCTCGATTTTGAGTATCTTTCTTTCCTGTTTTACTTCGTCGTGGGGAAAAGTGAAGTATGGGACGAAAGTGCGAAAAGTTCTTCGCACCCTCGGTTTCTTCTTCTTCCGTGTATTCGATTATATTTTCGTTCACGTCGACGATTCGAAAGCTTCGCAAGCATTTACTTTCTGTATCTTATAATTCTTTTTTTTTTATATTATACAGAGACCACCGAAAAAACTCTATAATAATGGTAAAAAAATTCTTTCTGGTAATTTTTGATATTAAATATTTAGACAATTAAAATGCAAATAAATTTGATCAATTAAAATTCACCTGAAATTAAATTTGCACTCGTAAAACTTAGTTTGCAAGAATTGTTTATCTTTAACTGCAATTTGCGTTTTTTAACTTGTGTAAAATATAGATAGAAAATACTGTTTTGTCATTATACAAAATTTTTTAGGGTACCTTGTATAAGACGAATTATTAATTTTTTAATTATTCAAAAAGTCTAATTGACGACAAGATAACGGAATGTAAATTATTGAAATTTTTGCGAGAATTTTGGGCAAAAATCGTCGACGATCACGTAGCATATATGCATATATGTGTGTCTATATATTTGTGAATCGCGGCTCGGGGAAAACTTACGTCGAAGATCTCGAAACCGGCGATATCCAGCACACCGATGAAGTGCTGCCTCTTCTGCTTGGTGTCCAGGGTCTCGTTACACTTCTTCACCAGCCACTTGAACAGCCTGTCGAACATCGCCTTCGACATGGCGCCCACGGAATAGGCTACTTGATCCTTGTTACGACCCTGGGTGACGAACTCGTTACCGACCTTGATCCTTGGCTTCAGCAAGTTCTTGTAAAGATCGGCACAGTCGCAGCCAAGCAGTTTAGCCACGCGCTCACCTTCCTGAAGTGCAAAACATGATTTTTTTTTGTAGCGAGTATTTCTTCTCATTACGCCAAAAGAACAACGAAATGACGATAGCGTTTTGATGAAAATATATTTCAATGCCTGTAACTTTTGATTGAAGAAAAACACATATTTCAGCATATATAGGTACTATAAGAAAAAGAAATGTTGGGATATCTATAATTGTGTGAAAATGTAGTTTGGGAAAATCGATTACGCGCCCATACATGTTTTGATTTTTTCTGCTTAAAGCATCGAGAAGAGAATCCCAAAAAATGTTTAGAAACGTTCTAAATTACAGAAATTGTTTTAGAATCTTTCTTGGGATAAAAACGGTATATTTAAAAATTTGAGGAAAAATGACTTCGTGGCTCTACAGGGTGTTGGTTTGGATTAGTCTTCTTAATTAGAAAATTACTTTCTATAAAAAAAAGAAGAAAAATAAATAAAAACCTATTAAATCGTTATGTTAATGATAATTACGGTCTCTAGTAGTTCAAGTAGTTCTCCAGTAATACAAAGGTACGTACTTCAGTGCCATCAGCTTCAGCTTGTTCCTCACGACCCCTTTGCTTGAATTTCATGCCACCCATGTGCATGACGGCCGCGGTGATCTTGTAGATGTTATCCTTCTCTTCCTGGGTGAAGCCCAGCACGTCGAAAGCTTGCTGTTATCGAAAAAAAGCCCCGTTAAACCGTCGTCTTGCCGATGTTCTCGCGTCAGAGATTGTTCTAATTACGAGGAGTTGATTCGCGAAAAACGTTATAAATTTTTCAGACATATTTTACACGTCTTTTGTCGTTTAGAATTCTGTGTCATTTTATCAGAGACGAAAAACCGAGCGATACATTTATTGGCGAATTCAGAGATCCTGGGATATAATTAATAATACTATATAATTGTTCATTTGCGATTCAAATTCAGAAAAGGGATCATCGGAAAAAAGAACGACGATCCCTAATCACTCCTCTGATGATTCTCGTTATCAATTTCGATAAACTTGCATGTAGGGGGAGTCCGGGAAACTTGACCATAGAAGAGAGTTGAACCACTTCAAATATCTCGTTCAAATTTTGAACAAAAGAGCTCAATCCGAGCACGTTAAAACACGTTTGTCTCAATCACAGTCGAAACGCACTACCAAGCGTCATATTGTCACGTGTTCGGATTGAGCTCTTTGTTCAAAATTTGAACGAGATATTTGAAGTGGTTCAACTCTCCTCTATGGTCAAGTCTCCCGGACTCCCCCTATTATATGAGCGAGGATTAGTGGAAGAACAAGGACAACACAAACGCTCCCAAGCACAATGAACTATCAATATAACTTATGTTATAAATCGTTCGGCTATGTACGTGGAAGCTGTATAAGAAAAAAAAGAGAAAGAGAAAGAAAGTCAGCGTAGCGTAAAGCTCGGTTTCACCACAGTGTCAATTAAAATTAAATTATTTTACGAGCAATTGAATAACTTATTTTTGTTTAAAAAAAATGGAAATTCTGACAAATTGTATAAGAATGTTTCCAAAACATTCTCTAATTTTGTAACTTTATTTTTTTAAGCTCTTGAATTTGACGACTATCAATTATTGCAATCGTAGATCAATTAATTCTTAACTAATTGAACCAGGATTAAAATTAATCGATCGTAAAAATTCAACTTTAATCGCGAATCAATCGCTTCCTCGTTTATTTCCAGTTGTATAATTTTGAAAGAAAGTCGACTGATGTTGGTGAAACCGACCAGAAGCGAAGCTCGTTTTTGCAGCAATAGCCGAAAAGCGGAAGCGAAGCTCGTGTTACGTGGCGATAGCTTCTTTTCTTTAAGCTCCGGGTGTCAACGCGAATTAACACCGCCTACGTAATCTCTCAAGATCACGAAGTGCTAGAAAAAGAGTAAGAAGAAGAAGAAGAAGAAAATACGAAGAAGAAGACAAAATTGCGAGCTTGATCTCTAGATCGCACTCGTCGCAAACTGCCTTCTTTGTGGTAAAGAAGTTTTCAGGGTCAGCCTGAACGATTCCTCGCGATTTTGGTTCCAACCCCCTCGTTTCTTTGAGGGGCAGCTTGGATCTTCTTCACGAAATTTAACGTCGCACTCGATCGATGAAGAAACGCTTGCTCGAGCTGCGTCTCTAATCAAATCTATCAAAGTTCAACTTCAACCTGTGTGAAAACGGAACTTCTCACAGGAGCAGTAACTACTGTAGAAAGGGAAGGGGCGGAGGAGTCAACTACTACGGAGTTGCAAACTACTGGGACATGATATTCGAAATAATGCTGAATCTCTGATCGAAATCGAGATGGTAGAGAACTTCTTTTAAGACTTCTTAAATTGCTCCAAGTTAAATAACTGGAGTAGGGTAACAAAGGGGGGGGAAGGGGGAAGGGGCAATACTACTACCAGAAGAGAACTCGAAAATATTGTACATAGTAGTTGCGCAGAAATCGATAATGCAACAACAATCCATCTATAAAAAATTGATTACATACATACGTAATATGTAATTTGATTTTATATTTTTAATTTCAAATTTCTAAATAACATTAAAACTCTGTTTATAAAAATTATTAATATAAAGAACGTGTAATAAAAGTAAAGTTATATTAAGTAACGAGTTTATACGAAAGATACTAATTTTGTGTTAAAAATATAACATCAATTTCATCAAATTTTTAGACTTGTTTAAGTATCCAAATCAATTAATGAATTAAAATAAATATTTCCAATCTGTTTACTTTGATATTTTTGCATCAAAAAATAAAAGATAAAAAATATCAAAAACAATATTAAACATATTAAATTAAGGTTAAATATATTAAATTAATGTTATTAATTTAATTTAAAAACAATTAAATAATAAAAAAAATTATTAAACCTTAAAAGACTAATAATCTTACAGTAATTTCTAAAAATATATTGTTGCTCATTATCGTCCGCATTTGTATAAACCAATATCTGGGGCAGAAAAACAACAACAACGTCAATCTTCAAAAACTCAAAACAAAAATTTATCTTGTCAATACTAACAAATCCTTATCGTTTTATTATTAAGTTTCATTATGACTATTATTTTTTTATCTATTAATTAAATATTCAGACATCTTGATCGACGTCGCTGAGTAGATGAATGAATTTATATAATCCATATGATCTAAAGATACGGGATCGAACTTTTACAGGGGCGAAAGAGGGGCATCTTTTTTACAACCAGGGTGATATCTAAGGACTTACGTCCGTCAGCAAACATTCCTCGCCATCGTCGACGTTGGGGATCGTGATTTTTCCTTGGGACACGTTGACATAGTCGTATATGTTGTTGGACAAGTAACACATATCTGTGAAACATTTCGGAAAATAAAGTTGCAGTTTAAGAATTTGTTTCAGTCTCAATCTCGTTTCTGAGAATCCTCGCAATCTGGCTCTCGATCCATCCTTGGTCAATCAGCGGTCGTCGACTTGCAACGCCAAGAGTTGATCGTCAAATCAATTGTGCTGTCAATTTCTGAGACTCAAAGATCCATCGCGAGAGAAAAGCCTTCGACTATATCTTCTCCAAAAAGATTCTTAAAGATTTAAGAGTCTTGGATTTTTATATATTTAATAACACAACATATTTTCTAGAGAAATGTTTCTTTAGAAAATATCTTTTCTCAAATAACACGATAGTTCTTTTAAAAACTTTGGATAGTAATTTAAAAGAAATAACTCTCTCATGATTTTATAATAAAAAACTTTCTTATTTAACATTATTCCAAATTTAAAAATATATCTTTTGCTTTTGTTATTAAGATTATAGCTTTGGGGTTTAAAGAATTCTTGGAATTTTTCCATTTAACAAAAAAGATTTTTTTGGATGACGATTGAGTCTTGAAAGAGCGGAAAAAGACGAAGAGATTGCTACGACATTTGCGAGCGCGCTTTTTCAACAGCCTGGCATATACGGGTCGGGCGGTAATAGTGAGATGGGCATATCGGGGAGCGGGTAAACGGGGGCGATAAGTTCCTTGGAAGAGAAGATTTCTTCAGTGTGAGAAAGTCTCGCGCTCCCAATCTCCCCGCGCCCCGATTGCGGCGGCAGGCAGCTATCGCAGGCGGGGAGCGAGGGGGGTGGCGAATCCTCGGCCAAACTTCAGCATCACCTTGCTCGTTCCATGATACGGAAAGCAGACGAATAATTTTTATCTACATAAGCTACATTAAAGTTTAAAATTAAGCTATCCGAATTAAAAAAATTAATGTTTAATTATTTTTAAATACTGCAGCTTTGTAAATTAATTATGTAACAATTAAAATAATCGATTTCAATCGTTTTTGAACAGTATAATCACAGTTATCTCTTTCTCTCACTAAGATTTTTAATATATTTCTTCGGCAATAAGAAATGGATCTAATACGAGTTAATATTGTTAAACAATTTCATAAGAAAACACAAGGGAGTCTGAATTTCGCCGAGGCTCGAAAACACCCTGGGGCTGGACTTACGTCCGTTGCTTCCATATCTTCGCCGTCGTTGACTCCCGGAATTCTGGTTTTACCCTGGCTAATGTACCAGTAGTCGCCGATTCGGTTGCTCAGCATGGTCATTTCTGTATTAGTTCGTTCATTTTTCTCTATCGACGCTCGATTTCGTGATCGGCAAGCGAGCGATCGTGACCATCGTCGACATTCTAAGTCTAATTCTAAGTTTTGATTTTCGTAAATTATTACGAAATAAGTAGCGAATAATTTTACTAACGATTAAATCGGTCAATAATTACTTATAGAAACAACAGATAGAATGAATTTGGATACTTTGGGTCGAAAAGTGACTTGTGTCGTCGATGCTCGCAACAGAAAAAAACAATAGCAAGTTATTGGCGGCGAGTACTCGCTGAAAAAAAATGATAGTGCGATAGAGAAGAAGAGAAGAGAAAAAAAAGACAGAGAAAAGAAGGTGAGAAGTTATAGTGATATACAGATGTCCGCATATGATGCTGTAAGAATATGTCCGGTTAATCACGTGGCGCATTGAAGAGCTGCAATGAAAAGAGCGAAGAGAAAGAGACAGAGAAAGAAAGAGAGAAAGAGAGGGAGAGAAACATTGAAAAAAGTACAGATAGCACGTAAGAAGAGATAATAGCACAGATAAACATCTTTGTGTAACAAATTACAGGATATGTAAGTAGAAGCCGACACAAAAATTCAAAGTGTACGGAAAAGGATCGTCACTCGGCGTAGTATTCAATGAGCGATGACACTTTTCCGGAAGCGGTCGCTATATGGGAAGGCGACAATTACGTACACAGAGAAGCTAGTGCTTAGAGAATTGGACCAGCGAGCTTCAAAAAGAGAGATTTGTGTGCAAGTGAAACTGACGTAACTATACCAATTTCAGAAACAGACATGATTAACATATAGATAAATAACTTAAAAAACTGTTTTCTTTTACAGAAGAGCATGAGAAATCTGATAAAATACAACGACACGTAAAAAAAAATGTGAAGATATTATTAAGAATGTGTTAAATAATTCTTTATAAATAATATAAAAAGTTTAAACAAAAAGTGATAACTTTTAAAAATCCATTAAATTCCTCTTATCTCAAAGGAATATCTTTTGCTGGCGCGATCACTGACGCCGGCTGGTCCAGGTCGTTGCACTTACATCGGTAACCAAAAGCTCTTCGCCGTCATCGAGGCCGGGAATCGTCGTCTTGCCTTGCGATACAAAGTAGTAGTCGGTGATGTTGTTGGACAGCAGACACATCTCTACAGGGTGACCGGATAGAAAGAAAGAAAACATGCGGGTGGTTAAAACAATCGATGGCGGGCCATGTTTCCTGGTGGCTTTCCATCGTACTACCTAAAGGGGGGTCGTATCTACAGGGTATCTATGAACCTTTGCGAGTCCGCGGGTTCTCTCTGTGTCAAATTGAAGGAAACACTGCTGGGGAGGAGGCAACATCAAAGAGGTGCCACCTGTGGTCATCAGGGGTTCATCAGCTCGACGAAGAAACTATCAAAATGCCTGCATCCTCTTCAAACAATGTTACTATTTATTTATTTATTTACATTATGAATTCATACTGCGATATTCTAATAATAAAATCAATTAAATTTAGATAAAAAAAACTTTTTTAGAACTTTCAAAGTCTGCCTTTATTTCTAATTATACATTTCTGAAAAATATTCTGTTCTAAATTCCTCGTCAATTTTATGAGTGTACTTTATCGGATTTTCAGGAAATAAAAGTTTCTGAAATTTGGACACCAGTTTTGAAATAGTTTCTTCGTCCACGATGTCAACGTTTGGTACTCAGAATACTACATTAAAAATACGTTTCTACGGTATAGCTCTGCAAAATACCGCTACTCCTTTTGCGGATTACGCCTTGCTAGGAGGATAAAATTATATACAATGGGTCCCAGCTCTTTCTCTCACGCCGGAGAGATCTATTATACTACTGTACACGCTATTCTACGAGAGATACGTACCTATTGTCGAATTTCTATTTAATAATAATAATTTTGTTCAATCTTTCTTCAGAGAAAATAAAGCCAAGTAATCTTAAATAAAACTTATTTCAATCGAATAAGGATTTCTTTAATTTAAATTTTCTTCAGCAACATTAGATTTTAATTTAATTATATCTAATCTAATTTTTTAAAAATTATATCTAATTTAAAATTAGAAAACTTTAATTTAAAAAATTGAATTTATTTCAAAATTATAAATTCCTTGATTTAAAATCTTTCTTTATCGATTAGAATTTTGCAAGCTTGTCAAAATCTTGCACATTTCTTTACTTCGAAGCTATTCATAACCAAGTGTGATTAGATTTTTTTCCATTTAAAATTATTAATAAAAATCAACGTCAACAGTAAACGCAATATAAAACTACCAGTGAATGTTAAATCACATCATCCAAAATCCGATCGAGAAAATCGACCTCGATAGATACGTTTCTCCCACAATACCCCGTTCTGAAGGCGTTATGTATTGCCCGCTACAATTCCTCCAGGGAACGTGATATACAGTTAATCCAAGAAAACCGCCAACTGTAGCCAGCAACCGAGTCTAAGGTTTCATACAAGGATAGTAAAGGTAAACATGAGAATCCTGCGATAATCGTCATCGTCAGGTCCTTACGTCGGTCAGCAGACACTCCTCGCCGTCGTCGACGTTCGGGATCGTTGTCTTGCCCTGAGATACGAAGTAGTAATCCTGGACGTTGTCCGATAGGAGACACATGGCTGTGTGGAATGAGGATAATTCGACAGTGAGAAACTTTGCTGACGCGCGGGAAGGAAAGAGGGCGACCCTCCGGGCGATTACACCCCCGGATCATTCACGCGCGAAACCTTTCTTATCTTCTAAGCTCCGCAGCACCTGTCTCATCTTCCCGATCTGATCTCGTTATCAGCGAGAATAGTCGCAAACGCTCCGGAAAATAATCGCTACCTCGAGAAAATTAATGTATTATCTCTGCCTGGAGGATGGTTAATCATATATATCTACATTTAATCTAGCAAAAACAATTCATTTTTTTATTGATAATATTGTTGTTTTACTATTGATATTGCACAATATGTGCAATTTCTCATGTATAAATAATTGTGTTAATTTTTCATTTTTCTCGAGGTAGCAATAATTTGTCAATTATGATCCTAGGACGAGAATATAATCGATGCGCGAATCCTGTTTGGATTTAATTTTCTTTCTCGCGGAATATTAATGATCTTACCCTTCAGTCCCTTGACTGATCCGGACATTATCTGATAGAAGATGTGGTAAGAACGCTCGAGGGTTTGTTGAGAGATGACACGAGCCTTCTCCAGCAGATCTATGGAAAGAAGAATATTATTTTAAATATATACTTTACATGAAGAAGCATAATATATTTGACGTCTGTAGAAAAAGTTCTACAAAAAGATTCACAAATATCCACAAAAAAAAGAATATATAATATCCATTTCTTGTAAAAATATGAAAAGAGCAAATTTTAATTAAGACTGTAATAATTAAAAAATCAGTTTTGCATACAAGTATATAGTTTTTTAAATAAAAACTAATGGTGCTTGTTGATAATTGAATGAAATAATTTCTTCTTACAGCGAAGAAATAATCGTGCGAAAAAAGACGGCGTCGCGCATACATTGTCGTTTATAGCGCAAAGATTGAGCAAGAGAATCACGACGATGACGCGAGCGGATTTTAAGCCAAACGGTACGAAATGGAGCGGTTGCAAAAATAACCGGGCGCAATTGAAGAACGGCGGACGGTGTAAATCGCGAATCGACGCCAACTGCGCCTCTCAGAGGCGCGCGTTTGCGTCGCGACGATAATAAACGCGTTCGCCTTCCGTCACCTTGACGTGACTACTAAAACGCCGGACGTGATTAATTGCGTAAAATTAACAACGTGCGTGACGATTTCTTTTTCCGGGATATGAGTCGTCGCAATTCGAAAATATGTCGTGTGAGATACTCACATGTCTCGATATCGGCACCGGCCAGCTTTCCAGAAGGACCGAAGTGAATACGGATAAATTTACCCTGTTCGAGATGAAACGGAAGCACAATTAATCCATCTGATTAAACGAGCGATTTTTTGACTATTATATATAAGCTTTCGGACACGGTCGACGATCTGTCGTCGTAAACAACATTTTCTATTTCTAACCAAGTGTTCCTACATTCTTGGATTGAAATAGATGCGACAAAAAATCTGGTATAACAAAATTAAAATAATAGTATCAAAATAATAAAATAGTAATTGCGCATAATTATACAATTATAATAACATATTAATTTATATAGTAATTTTTATATTAATATATAAATTACTTTAATATAATTATAAATTAAGAGATCTACAATAATTTTGCAACTAGCTGTTTTCTATTTCATTTAGGTCTCTTGAATCGTTATTGGACTTCCCCGCAATTATTTATCTCGATCAAATATAGTAATGCCATGGCTATTTTATCCTATTGAACGCTTCATATATGAAGCGCGTTAAAATAGAAACACTTACGAAACGAGAGGAGTTATCGTTACGGACGGTCTTGGCGTTACCAAAGGCCTCCAGGACAGGGTTGGTCTGGACGACCTGGTCCTCCAGAGAGCCCTTCTTCTGACTTCCTGTGTCTTCCTTTTCTTTTTTGGTCGAGGCGCCGACGGTGGCGAAGTACGCGATTACCTTCTTCGTATTCTCAGTCTTTCCGGCACCAGACTCACCGGTGATCAACATAGATTGGTTCTCGCTGTCTGTCGGGAATGAGAGATGCACAGATTTTACATAAAATGACATAAAAATCAACAAAAAATCGTGTCTCTTACAAATCAATATCTCCTCTAAAAAAAAAAGAACATGACTGCTCTATGTAATAATCCATTTAATTAAGAAAAATTATTGTAGTTTAATTGTTATTATAATAATCAAATTAAATGTTTAGATTTTTTCGAAAGTGAACAATTTTTCTCAATGGTATTGTAATGTTGCATTGTAATTAATACTGTTTCATAATTATGGCTTTTTACGTACTGGTGAGCATGTTGACGTAGGCTCCATCAGAAATGGCGAAAATGTGCGGCGGCACCTCGCTACGCCTCTTGCCGCGGTACAATTTGGCGCATCTATGGGTGTACACGGGGAATCTTTTGTAGGGATTAATAGCCACGCAGAACAGGCCGGAATAGGTCTGGAAAGGTAAACGATTTAAAGATGATTTAAAGATCGATCGAGTCGAGGCTTCGAGTAACGTTCCGTGACTTGGCCGGTCTTTGCGGTTCGCCAAGACAAAACATTTCTCGGTTCTCGGTTTTCGTGCGATCTGTCTCGTTGGACGAGATCCAATGATAACGTGTACAAGAAATTGCAGACAGATTCCAGTTATTCGAGCTTCCTGAACTCGATAAAGAGGATTATATATCACGCACAATCAACGTGACTTACGAATACAATATGAAAGGGTAAAATTTAAATGTTATAGACTTCTAATTATGATTTCTTCAATTATAACAAATATAATGAATTATAATGAATAAAATAAAATCATAGATTTTTTTTATAGTTTTGAATATTATAATTCTAGAGAAAACCCTTTTCTCCAATTAAATCGTATAATATTATATAATATATGAAATTATTCGTAATAACATAATATCTCAAATTTCAAATAGCTGAAATTTGTCTGTAAAATACATCGTCGATAGTGCCTGATTATTTCTTTGTCCAAACTTCCACAAAAATTATTATATATAAATCAATATTATTTATAAAACTCATAAAATTTTTTTAAGTGCAAAAGAAAATTAGCAAATATAATTTAATTATATTTACTGTAACTCATTATACAAATATTAATTCGTTACATTAATATGACGAAATAATCCAGCAATATCGACGACATCGGCTGTATTTCGATATTCACTGCGAGTACTGAAAGTTTATAGTTTACATCACGTATATTATAGATTTTTAGTACTGGCAGTGAATATCGAAACGTAGCCATCGACAAAACGTACATATTATATATGTATATAAACACAAAAGAAAACAGAAGTTGAATGCCGATGCAGAAACAGCCCGTCTCCCATCGTGATGGATGCGACTCGTGTCTCGAAACGAGAGTATCCTTCGGGATCTCCACTTTGTGAGCACGTGGATTCTGGGGCGCACTCAATTAAATACAATGGACGTAACATTCAGGAAACAAACATAGAATGATTGAAGAAGAATCGATTGCACATCTTGTGCGAATTAAAACGAAGAGAATGTTGTGGAAATTTAAACCGAAATAATGAGCATTCTGCGGTGAAGGACGAGAAAATGGCAAAGTATAAAATATTCCTTGCTGGGCATTTTTCCAACACAAAGTGATCGCTCTCACTGATCGAAAGTTACCAATCCGAAAGGGAAAGGGTAACTTTCGCAAACGTGAAAAAAAATCATAGAACGTCGCGGCACGTCATTGTGCTTTGCGCGACAATTCTCTCATTCTTTTAAAAGTAAAAGGAAAAAAATCATGCATCTCCAGACAGAAGTCTAGAGTAAATACAAAAGTCAAAGTGATAAAAAAATCAATAAAAACCAAGGAGACGTCGCAGCACGTCATGGTGCTTTAACGACGGCGTCATCCTCTCATTAAAAATAAAAAGAAATAAATACAAAAAAAATCATGCATTCTCTGGTGGCGAAAACACCGAACGGACAAAAGATTCTCGTTTGAACGGGAGAAGGGTCGATAAAAAAAATATGGAGACACCAGGAAACGTCGTGACGGATTGTCCTGCTTTATGACGACGCTCCTGCACAAGATCCGTGCTGGATGACAAACGGAATGTGAAGTCGAAGGATCCATCGGGACGTCGCGAGACGCGTCCTGGCGTTTTGAGCGACGAACCGGTCCTTCGAGACACAGGGAAAGTTCTACGGCAGCTCGCAAGTAGAAGAGGGACACTCGAGGCCAGAAAAAGCCAGACAAAGCCCTCCTCAAAAGAAGGGTGCGAGCATCTCCCCATTGCGAGCGAAGATGAGCCTTACGTAGATGAGCTTGGCGTAGTAACGTTGCTTCAAGTTGTGGAGGACCGAAGCATCGTTGAGGTAGGTCAGATTGGACATGTCTTCAGCTTTCTCATACTTGGGCGGGTTCACCTGCTGCAGCTGGTCCTTCTTGAAGTCCTTGGTCTATCGTCGAGCCCCAAAGAGAAAGAAAGAGGCCGTTAGTGGCGTACGGTCACGACAATCGACTTACGTAGATTAGTTTGGCGTAGTAACGCTGCTTCAGATTGTGCAACACCGACGCCTCGTTCAAGTAGGTCAGGTCGGCCATGTCTTCGGCTTTCTCGAATTTCGGCGGGTTCACTTGGGACAGCTGGTCCTTGCGGAACTGTTTCGTCTGCACGAGCATTTTCTTTTTTTTTTCTCTCCCTCTTTTCTCTTGCCGTCGTTACTTACCAAACGAACGATCATGTTGTCAATCTCTCGGAATTAAAAGCGAGAGATAGAGAACATATTTTGGAACTTGCGTATTATCTTTATTGAAAAGGCGTATTTTGTCTTAAATTTAAAAAATCAAAATATCTAAATCTTATAGATTTACAAAGATAAAAGAAAAGGTTAAATTGAATTGATGAGCAATTATAGAAATTGATAAAATGGAAATGTTTGAAAAATCTTTCCAATACATTAATAAAATAAAACAGTTTTTCCTCCGCCTTCTATATTATTCTTCTATGTACATAATACATTTAATAATTTAATTACATATCAATAATATATACTCACATTGTATTTAATTTACGATTTAACTATAGGAATAATTAAAATTAGACATAGTACTTGTAACTGGAATATTTGCAATATGCTAAAAGGAAGTTTAAGAATAAAAGCAAACATTTAAAGTGCGCTTTGTTGAACAGATAAAAAGTAAGTAATTTTTATTAAATTTATGAATGTAATTAAATCGATTTGTTATTTAATTATGACATAAGAAAATAACAAAGTAAAATGATTATCTAACAGCCATATTATTATCACAGATATTTTGAACTTTTGAACATAGCTAAATGGAAACATTAAAATGGATTCCGTCTAATTCCTAATGTGTTAATTTTCGTACGTTATTAGAGTTGGAAAAAAAATTATGAAAATAGTTAATTTATATTTGGGAAACTGTGTTAAAAATCTCGATAAGAGGCAGAAAAAGACGCAGTATTTTCCCCTAACGATTCCATTGCGTAAAAAGGTTTTTTGGCAGCGATATCAATGACACCTCTATCTCTTCATTTCTCTCTCTCTCTCTCTCTCTCTCTCTCTCTCTCTCTCTCTCTCTCTCGCAGCGTTTTTCTCGGACCTCGCGCTCGGTTGCTGTTCTAAAAATACATTGACCCGCGTTTCGAGAAGTATAGTTTCGGCTTATTATTATGCCAGGCGCTAGCGACGGCGATTCTAACAATAGCGTTTGGGCTTACAGTCGTAACGAGGCGACGCGCGTGGTGACACGAGTTTGCTGAACCATTATGTAATCGACGTGCGTTACGCGGGGATACGGATATCGGGGCTGTTTGTTCACGAGTTTGTCTCGGGAGCGAGAATAGCAGAGCGGTACAATAATTACGAACAAAATTATTCACGCGTTTGAAATGTGCTCCGTGGAAAGTTATAATCAATAATGTACAGCGAGGTTTATTTATCCTTCAAACACGGAATGCGAGAGAGAGAGAGAGAGAGAGAGAGAGAGAGAGAGAGAGAGAGAGAGAGAGAGAGAGAGAGAGAGAGAAGGATGAAATGATATAGAAATCTAGCAAATGTTTTATGCATATAATTTTCCCTTTAAAACAATATCACGTACCTAAAGAAAAAAAATTCTGAAAGCATCTAAAAATGCTGGAAATTATTCGATTTGTTAGGTAAGATTATTACAGTCTGTCCGAAAGTATCAATATGATGTGTGTAAATTTGGTGGGAAATAATCGAGCAGTTTTATATACATATTAATCATACGTCTTCCTTTCACTTACTGTTAAAAACTTTATTTCTCGATTTACCTATCGACAAAAAGAAAACTCTCCAAAGAAAGAATTTGCAAGGTGGAATGAATGTAAAATTAATTACGCAAGATTTCAAAGAATTAGGATTTCCCATGTAAAAATTTACAAATTTCTTCAGGAATTTTATCAATTATCGCATTCGCTAACTTTATTAATGTACATCTGAGGAGGGATTCTGTAACTCCTTAACGCCAGTTTCGGTATTCTTGCGCAGCTTTTTTATCACCTGCGCAACGATACCGAAACTGTCGTTAAGAAGTTACAAACTCCTGCTACTGCTCGTTCTGTATTTTTATTTTTTGTATCTTGAAGCTTTTTACTATTGCCACATGTACCCTTTTTTGCAGACAAAACAAATTCAATTCTATTTCGAATTAGATTCCAAAAAGTTAGATTGTTAAAACGAAAATATAATATGTAATTACATTTTGAGTTAAAAATAATCTCGATTGTAAACTCTCTCTTTCTCCCCAAGAAGAACAAAAAGGCCAACCAAGAATTAACGTATATTTGGTCGACGTTAAATTGACATTATTTTGACTTTTTTGTTCTCTTTAGATCACTACGGTAAGCGAGAGAAAGATTCCAGCGGGAAAACGTGTCGCTTCGAAGACAGGTCGTCGTTATATATTTTCAGAACAGTGGCAGAAAACCGCTTTTTTACGTAATGCACTTTTTGACAGGTCTCAAGCTCGAGAGGGATTTTATTTCCGTCCGAAAAGAAAGCCTACACCTTCGGACGACTGGGTGACAGAAGGTCATAAGCTCGACGTCGTCGTCGTCGTCGTTCTCGCCATCGTCGACGACGACGGCGGCCGCGGCGACTCGCGGTCGGTTTTCTGTTCTCTGAAAATAGATCGTCAGCGAGATCCCCGTACCTCTCCCTTCTTTTTATATATATAGAAGCCAGCGAATCCCCTCTCTCCCTCTCTCTCTCTCTCTCCTTCTGTCTCCCTTTCGGAGCCGGTCGGTCAAGCCGGCTAAAAAATCGCCCAGGCGGAGGGAGGGATCGCGTCTCGATCCTTCCATGGCGATCGATGGAAATCGCCGTGCCGTAAACAGACGTCCCCTTCCGTCGCCCCCTCAGCACCCCAAAAATGCGAGCGAACGAATTTATCCGGCGAAATCGGAACGCACTCTCGCTGTTGACGCCTTCTTCTTCGAATGTACGCGAATGTCCCGCGTGAACGCATTTTCGGCGTAATCGCGCTCGCGAAAACTGTTACGTCACTTTCGGGGTCTAGTTCGAGAGAGCGAGAAAGAGAGAGGCGATGGTAGAATGGAATCTAGCGAACAATTTTGTAATTGATGTCTTTATACTTGTCTCTTTTAGATAACACAGCTTGACTTACAGCTTTATTTGATAATCTGAGTTCATATCTTAGCTAATTTTTTTTTGTGATATCTGTCATGTTATAAAATTTATGTAAAATGCGAAGAATTTTTTAATGCCTAAATAATAATTAATAATGTAAAATCGCGCATTGAAGTGTTTAGAAATAAATTTCCCGACTGAAGACGCATTTGTACAATAGAAAAAGCGCTGTCGGACAGTAGAAGAGGAAGATGTATGGGCAGACCGATGATGCTTTCGATGTGACACGACTGATCGTTTGTTTGTTAAATTATGATTATCTGACGTATGTACTATTTAATAAATTATTGTTAGAAAAGATAGAAACAATTGTAAAAGTAGTAAAGCATCTCTTAAAATTTACCTTTGAAATTCTAGCGTACGTGATAATATAAAATATCTGAATTGAGCATATTAATAGAAATAGATGATTAATATTATGACTGTGTTGTATTTTCTAATGTAAAATATAAAAAATATAATCTCTGAAATAATTGTTCAATTAAAAATATTAAATCAGGATTAAAGTTAACTAATTAGTATATTATTTTGTGTCTCTATCATATGTGAAATATCTAAAAGGTAAAACAATGATATCGTGTATCGTTATTTCAATGATGTTGAAACACTGAGTACAACTCCAGCTTGACAAACAATACCATTTTTTTTGTTGGAGTCTGGGATGCAAGCATAATTTCATTCAGAAAAGAGATACTTCAAAGCATTAATATAATTTTAATCGCATCCGGGAATTTCGAGTAAGTTGGTAAATAACTTTTGCTAATCTGACCAAACAAATCTCGGTATCTTTCGTACACTCAGTGTTTAACAAAATCGCGTAGACGCTTTAGATATCTCAAAGAGAAAAATTGCCCAAATAATAGCTGATTTTTTCGACTTCAATTTTCTCTTCTTAGAATCACATACTGTTTAATGTTACACCTGAGCCACATTGTTATTCTCATGAATTTTAATTCTCCCTGTTGCAAAGAGACAGAATAAAATTACTCAAATATAGAGTCCTATCGGGATCGCTTGTCAGCTATTTTCCGAGCAATCTAGTGACTTTTTAGAATAATGGGAATCGGAAGAGCGAGTCACAGGAATGCATTTGTACATGGCAAGTATTACACACCTCGCCGCCAGGCAAGCCAACGCTGACGACATCGCCCTTGGTGGCTTTGATCTCGCCGAGGAGGTAGCCCTCCTTCTCGTCGGGCACCCAGCATGCTTTCTTTGCGTCGTAAGGTTTCGTCTGATCGATCCTCTTCTGCTCGAGGGAGACGAAGAGGTATGGGGTCGGATCGGGATCCTCTCCCTCCTGGGCCTTCGGGGCTGGCATCTTTGGTTCTTCTTCTCGGCTCTACTGGCGGTAAACTGATGCCGTAGCACTCACGGGTTTCCTCCTGATGTCTTGCTGCTGCTGCTTCTTCTTCTTCTTTTTCTTCTTCGGTGGGAGGGGAAGACCGTTCCTCTTCTTCCTGTCGTTTGCCTTCGGGGGCTTGTTGTTGGTTCGGCGGCGGACGGACTACTTCTGGCGGCACGTTCTGGGCGGCCCTGGGGAACGATCGGTTAGAACATCTCGGCGCACCCGGTTGTCCGGGGTCCACTTCACGAAACTACAGCTGTCTATATCTAGACTATATCAGTTGATTGATGCAAGAAAATGTTACATCTCTTCTATTAATTTTTTTTTCAATCCCTTTTACGTTTTTCAGAAAGATTTCTCTTCGAATATATAAAAAGAATTACAGTCAATTATTATCTCGATTAATTGAGATTCTAACATACGCGTAAATCTTATTTTTAATCGAATTTAATAGATACACATTTTTCAAAATAATAATATTAAATAATGAAAAATATTGTATAAACGTTTCAGATCTGATGAAAATTCTCTTCTGTGAATTACATAAGTTCAGAGCTTATTATTTTGCGATAAAAATATTAAAGAAACATGCTTGTTGCCATTTTTCACAATTCTCGATATATCTTTTTAACTGATCTCTAAATTAAAAACATTTGTTTAAATAATATTTATTTAAAACTAAACAAAAATAATAAATATATTATAAAATAAATATAAAAATAGATATTTATTTATATTTCCAAAACTTATTTCTCAAGAAGCTGTTTGTCTCAGCCACTTGTAACTTAAAGTTCGTTTATCGACAGATTTATAAAACAAGAATTTAATTCCAGGTTAGTCAAAGTATCTGTAAAAATTAATAATAACGGAGATCTGACACATTTAATATCTAACAATCGCATATATTTCTTTTATATACCATTACCCAATTAGTTCGTAATATTATTGTTAGAAAATCATTGTCATAAGAACCGAATGAGAAATCAGACATTCATCAGTAAAAAACCTAATATCAAAAACTAAGGCAAATGTTATTAAAATTCACTTTGACTGATATTACAGTCTCGTAGTTTCGTAAAGTGAAATTTAATGATTTTTAGATTTGTCGCAGACAACCGCCGGCTTTTCTCTTTCCTGATTTCACTGAAACGTTATAGAAAGACGTTGCAAAGGTAGTAAAGATCCATTTTATCGAACACGCTTCACCTCGAAGCAGGTTGGTACGATGTCGCGATATATCACTGACACTACTACTTAACGCGACGGTTATGCGTGCATCACAAGAGAGGAGTCACGAAGAAGAGTCGAGAGAGTGCGATGGGGTTGCATAATCGGATAAGAATACAAAATGGAACAGGCACGAAGCGGCACTAGTGACCGGACCAAAAAGAGCGACGTATCGCGTTACAAGAAGTCCGATATTTTCGTTTCTTCAAGCGTACACGAAACATGAAGAATACGCGAAGGCATCCGAGCGTGAGTTTATTAGGACTTAATGAATATTGGGAAACCATGCGGACTTTAAGTAATAAAAGAAATAAAACATAGAAACATAGAAACGTGAATCATGGAGAATAGTACTAGGTGAGGAAGGAAGCAACAGAGAAAAAGAAAGAAAACATTAAACTTTAAATTTGAAGTTATTAATTTTTTCTTATCCAACAGATAAAAAATTCACTAATAAGTGAAGAATCTACTGGAAAAATTTGCAATTTTTTTGAAAATAAATTTTCTAAGCAGAAATAGTTCACATAGAAAAAAACTGATCTCATTCTTCAGCCCTTTAAACGATAACAGTTGAATTAACTTTGCTTATAAATAATAAAAATTGTTTTTCCCATTTCTTGATTAAGTTTTCATCGAAATAACTCATTAATTATATGAAAAAATTATGATATCTCTTACAACCACAAGGTACAACGGTGAATTTTATAATTTTGCTCTATTGTTAAATCAAACAAAAAAAACTTTAAAGTACTAACAGTAGAATTTTTATTTTTTTATAGTTTTACTCTATAGTTCAATGAAAGTAAAAAAAAACTAAAGTTTTACTTCGCTTTCCTGTTAAATCAAAACAAAAAATAAAACTTTAAAGTTTTACTAACAGTAGAATTTTTTTTTATTTTTTAAATTAAGAAAGCAAATCGGTTTTTAATAAGCAGATTTAATTTAATTGACTGTTACCTAATAATTGTTTAAATATTGATATAGTACTGTGAACCATGAATAAATATAGAAGAAAAATAAATAAAATTAGAAAAAAACAGCGTAAACAAGAATAGGTTTTCACTCGTTTAAAACAAATTGGAGGTGAATGCTGGGAGATATCTTATCAAACTTGATGACGTCGCACAATGGTATTCCTGGTGTTTGCACCATGTTGGCTCAATCGAAAGAATAAAATCTTCCGATCGGAAGTCGGTCGACTTCCCGATCGACACCGGGAACTCGAACTCGCTTTTCTTTCCAATCCGATCGGGTCAGAGCAGAAAGGTAGGCCCGGGGATGAAAAAGGACAAGAGGAAGAGATGAAAAGAAGCAACACTGTGTCCGCACACCGTTATCGGGGGGCCGTAAGCACACACAGGTAAAAAAAAGCTCCTCTAATTGTAAGATATTTCCGGCACAGTCCTTCCGGTCGCACCTCGTCGGACTCTCACACGAGTACTTCACCAAAAGTCGATGAAGGTCGAAGGTCACTCCCTCGGAAGATCACCGGGACCCGGATCGCTAACCGGTACCACTTTTCCGCCCACCTAGCGACCTCCTCCCCCGATCTCTCCGGCACACAGACACACACGCGATCCTCTCGTAGAAGAAGAGGAGCACGACCATTCGAACTCGGTCCTCTCGCGAGTTTCTTGTGGTCTCAAGCCTCACCCTTAAATCCGCTCCTTATCACCGGTACCGTGTGACACACGTGTATGTGTGGATTTGTCGGCGTGTCGGCCGCTGATTTCTCTGTGAGTGAGCGCGGCGAGATAAGTGTGCGAGCTCCGGTGGATGATGCGGTGTTGTGACGACGACGCTTGGACCCGCGGTTACACCCCGTTTATTACTCCGATACGCGAAAGAACCCACTTCCTTTCTCCTCGCTGTATTTTCGCGTTTCTTTCTCGTCTTCTGTCGATCGAGAGGAAAGAGAAGAGGAAGAAAAGAGAACAAAAAAAATAATAGAAGCCGGCGGCGTCGCGACGCGACGCGACGTGGTGCACTTACGTTAGAGAGCCGTTCTGTCGGGGAAACGAGCGGGGGCTCCCAATATAAGCGCGTGCAACGTGATCCTAGAGTGTAACGCCGCGGTCGATTGGCCGGACGGTCCGACAAATCGCATATCGCGTTACTTCCACGGCCAATCTACCTTTTTAGGCGGACGATGATACCGAGAACGCGGCGCGACAAGGGGGGTGGCCGCGACGCCGGCAAGTGAGATGAAAATAGACGTTGGAGCGAGACGCCGCGCCGCTGTCCGGTCCCCCTCTCTCGGCCATCCCTCTGGGTTGGTACCCCGGGCTGCCCCCAGCCATGGCGACCGCCGCGGACCTCGAAATGGAAGAAAGAGGTGGCGGAATTTCGGAGGGTGCGCTCGCTTCTTCGCTTCGCTCGGCTCTCTCTTCGGTTCTTCCATCGCTTTTGGTGGTCGTCGAGGAGGAGAGAAGAACAGAGAGAGAGAGAGAGAGAGAGAGAGAGAGAGAGAGAGAGAGAGAGAAGAAGGAGGAGGAAGGGAAAGAGGAGCGCACCACGTGGAGGGCGCACGTGGACGCGAGCATCACTCGGGGTGCGCGCCGGTGAACGATGATTCTCTCGTGATCCGTTACGTCAAAACGGATCGGACAGTCAGTCAGTCGGGATAGATGATCGATGGATATCCTCATTTTTTTTTCTTTTTTCGTTGTACTCCGACCGACCTTGTGTTCGATGTCGACAATTTTTGATCGAACTGCCGCGTAAACGTCTCTTCTTTCGATTCGTTGCACGATTCCAGTGTGGACCGGTGCTATACATTTTTTAAATTTAAATTATCATTCTTCTTCTTGGACGATTTGAGACTTTAAAAGAATATCCTGCGTTTTGCCAAGCTATTAAACTATTAAGATTAAAATAATTTTTTGAATTATTTCCTAAAATAATTATATATATAATATATAATAGACAAATAATTTTTTTGTTTACTCTGATTCTCTCTCTTATTTTTTTATTTTATATATTATTTTCAAATACTTTAGAATATTTTGTTTTATACTTGTATAACTTAAAACATTTTTTAAAACTGTTATCAAATAAATAAAATAAGACATACGTTAGAATATTAAATGATAATCGTAGTTCGCACATATATTTCAACAAATTTAACATAAATAAAATAAAGTTCAAAACTTTGCCTTTATTTTTTCTAAATGTAAGAAAAAAATTTTTAATTTTCTCTTTATTGCGGTTCTAATTTCTTTTTTCTCTTTTTACAAAAAATCGCTGGTGAACTATATTGTAGACATTTGATTGATATCCGGACACAAATATCCGCGAAGAGAATGCGTGGAACCACAATAAAGATTGTAAAAAAAAAGATCGAGGTATCTAAGACTTGGGCGCCTATAGCATTTTTATACATATATATGCGATCAACGGGTTAAATGACGAAGCTACTTTTCTCTTCAAGTGAACCGAGTGGAGAGCGCGAACGAACGCGAACGAACGCGCTAGCTTCAATGAACATGCATGGATGACTCGCCGCGAGTATGAACGAGCCCAGATTTATACGATCGACGAATGTTTCTATCTCTTTTCGGGTTACATCAAAGGGAAAGCGATCGCTACAAGCGCTCGTTGAATCTGTAAATGTTCGTTCGTAATCGTTTGTTCTTATTAATTTGATCTGTAGTCCCTTCAAGCGGGCTCCAGAACGTAAACGAATTCGTACACGCGCAGTGGTCGCGGCGGGCCTTGGCGTTTTCCACGTAAAACCGCCGCGGAAATAATATTTACGTTTGCCAGGCAGCGCTATAAACCGAATTCCATGCCGTCATCGTCCCGATCGACACGATGCGCCCAAGTGCATCGAAATAGACGCCAATCGAAAGACGTATACGGCAAAGCAGTATAAACAGATTCTTATCGACGTCAGCGAGAAAATATTATTGTGACATTTATGAAATCCAAGAAACGTATAAGGTAAGATAAAAGATTGTTTTATGATTATCTTTTTAAATAAAGTTTTTTCTATTACAATGTTAATAGTAAAATAATGTTAATTAACATATTATTTCAAAGATGTTAAATTTCGATATTTGTGTACAAGAGTAAAAAAAACTTTTAAAAAGTACTTTTTCTTTATTTTATAAAGATAGTTCCAAAATTTTGTTTTTTATTTTAATAATTAGAAGAAAATAGTCATAATCAACATAATCACCGAAAAGGATTTTCCAATATTTTATTTTTATAATCTTCCCAAACTTTTATATTAATCGTAAAGTATTATATTAATCGTCAAGTATTATATATAATTTCAAATTTTATAAATTAGATAATATAATTCTAGCATAATATCCTAATTTTTCAGAGTGTATTCTGACGCAAATCGCAGCGTTTCTCTCTGCATCCATCATGTGATTACAAGATGCAACGATTTAATGCAGTGCAGCAATTTTCTCGCGGAGAAATTGGATTTCTTCCAGTCTTCATTAATGACGGGAAGAAAACGCGCGGAGGACGATGATTCGTCGTAAGGTCGATTGAGAAACTAATGAGTCCCGTCTTCCGTCAACCGGACGTGATAATCGATGAGAGTGGATAAAACATAAAATGCAGATTTGTGGTTGTAGAACATAAAATTCCATTCGATTAGTTCGATGTCAGAAGGTTGAAAGTCCATAACTTTATAAATTCAGGAAATTAAAAACAATTGTTTTATTCGAAAATAAAAAGATCTTTTTTGTGTGTGGAAACAAATTCAATTCAAATAAAAATGAATAAATGTACAAATAAATATATGTAAAACTAATTATATGAAATATTTTTTCGAAATTTTATTTAATTTTGCGCGAACATTTTTTATTTGTTATCTTTGTAGTTAAATTTTTTTTTATAAAAGAAGAAAAAAAATGAACAAAAAATTAGTAAAATTGACACCCACGTATTTTTTCATGTAAAATAAATATATATATATATATATATTCACATTATTTACTAAAATTTAACTTATATATTTTAACTTCTTAATACCAGATATATTTTTATTAATAATATATATTTGTATAATTAAAATATTATTTGTATATATATTTGTATTAAAATATTATTTTTCGATACTAGATATATTTCCATTTACGAGTTTTCATTCATGCGGCGCTTATCTAACGCTCAAGGCCCGATTGCTCGCTCGATAATTACGTAAAATCATTACGGGTGATCGCGCGTCATTAGAACGCTCTTATTCCACGGGCGTGGGTGACCGACGTCGGCATGCCAGAAGAGCCACGATAGTTACGATCGGACAGTCGCGGTGCGTGCCAAACGTGTGCGCTAAGCGAGGCAAAAAGAGCAGAGCCTCTGAATCATTTAAAATCTTAAAGCCCACCCCCGTCTCCCTTTAATCCCCTTGTTGTCACATATGACTTATCTCACGATGAGTGTAAAATTAGCGGATGAAAGATAGCACAGGAATTCAAGTGAGAGACATACGCTGTTACGTGTACTCTCAGAGGCGGAAATTTAGCTTCGTAAATTATAAAGAAATATAAATTATAAAAGAAATGCCTGAAATATCTGTAAGGCTACTAATTATTTCTCTTTAATTTTATTTTATTTTATTTTCACGTACACTTTTTTTAAACAGAAATCGGCAACCCTTTTAATATTAACAATTTTTCTAATTTTATTACATTCTTTAGTTCTTTCTACCCCTATTTTATATATAATTGTTTAAGATTTGAACAATTATTTCCCAAAAAATTTGAAAAATTTTGGAACCGGCGGTTTCTAAAAAATCGGTAACAAAAAATTA